TACACTTGTGTATACATATACGTACCTCGGGTACATATCTGTAGTACCTGATACGACAACGACCCGACCCCTTCAGCCTCAGCAACAGCCTTATTCGCACTTCGAGAAATAGAAGCTGCAGCCGACTCAGACGATGCACGTGATGTTGCTGTCTGGCGCACAGCTGTCTGTTTCTGCATATATTCATGGTAACCTTTAGTTAAAATACATTCATGTAGTACTGGTATATATGTCCAAGAATGCTTTCAGCACCCTGTTCTCAGAGTGACCATGCTTGAATTAACATATGTACCTTGGAGTAATCATTCTGAATGATTACTCCAAGCATGTACAAATTAGGGGCCTATTCCCGCGCGCATATTACTGTACATAATTGATACATGGGAATAAAACATTATGTCACATGTATTTACATCTACCTTATGTATATACACATCTATTTCTACTATAACTCATGGAGCAAATTGTAAGCTTAGTTGGTTGCACATTTACGGTATCTACAGCAAAGCAAACCTGCACGTGTCTGGGCAAGTCAAACAGTGATGGGACTGCACTGAGTGTTTGCCCTGTCCTATTAAAGTCATCATCAGTGTAATGTTTACTGCACAAGCGGGAGGAGGAGGATGGCTGCCACAAACCACCACATTTGCCTCGTCTGCGTAGAGCAGTTATCCACTGTTTTTGTTTTATTTTGTTGACAGGAAATCTATTCGAGAAAAGGATATATTTTGTTATTATTGCACATATTTATTTACATGCATGCAGGTAACAAAACATTTTTACATCATCTTCAATGCTTATTACGTATATTACGTAAATTTATGCAAACCTACATAAGCTGTACATGTATTAATTATGTACATGGTGCCTGATCAGTACTAGTGGCAGTTTTTGTTATGCTAAAATAAGTTCTCACAATACGTCGCATACACGTGAAATGTCACTCCGCGATTTTTGCTTCTTTTGTCAGGGCCGGCGGAAGCAAATAAACATTGGTCAGGCCATTTAGCATCAATAACAGATGTCGACGAACAGCTGGCCGAAGACCAGGTGCCCACGGCGCAGCCATGGCGGGGGAGCTCTAGGGGGGGTTTCCCCCTCGTCAAAGGGGGGTTTGGCGGTCCTCCCCCAAGAAATTTTAAAAATTTAAGACACCAAGATGCCTTTTTAGAGCTTAAAAATAATTTTCAAAACTCTAACAAATATATATTTATACTTCAGTATAAGCCTAATTATTTCGGCATCTGCCAATTTACATGTCAAATTTAATGCGTGTGCACGTACATGTGCGGGCATGCGTGCATGCGTGTGCAGGTACACGTGTGTGCATGAGTGCGTGCGTGCGTGCGTGCGTGTGCACGTACACGTGCGTGCATGCGTGCGTGCGTGCGTGTGCACGTAGACGTGCGTGCGTGCGTGCGTGTGAACGTACACGTGCGTGCCTGCGTGCGTGTGAGTGCGTGCGTGTTCACGTACACGTGCGTGCGTGTGTGTGCAGGTACACGTGCGTGCGTGCATGCATGTGCACGTAGACGTGCGTGCGTGCGTGCGTGCGTGTGCACGTACACGTGCGTGCATGCGTGCGTGCGTGCGTGTGCACGTACACGTGCGTGCATGCGTGCGTGCGTGCGTG